TCCCCAAGCATAGCCTTCCCATGCCTGCGGTCTGTGCTGATGGACATGATCTATCCCAACCACAAGGTGCCCGGACGTTCCATCTTTGACAACCTGTACCTGGTTCAGGACCTTCTGGAGCTAGGGTGCCAGGAGGGCCTGTCTTTCACCCTCCTGACCCTGGACCAGGAGAAGGTATTTGTCAGAGTAGATCATGGGTACCTCACAGGCATGCTCGGGCCTTTGGCTTCAGGCCCCACTTCGTGCAAGCTCTCTAGGTGCTGTATACCTCTGCAGAGGTTTAGTCAAGCTCAACTGCACCCTGATGGAGCCCATCCCATTTCAGGAGAGGGCTGCGTCAAGGCTGCCTGCTGTCAGACCAGCTGTACATCTTGGCCCTGGAGCCCTTCCTCATTCTCCTGCGGAAACGGGTGGTGAGGTTGATGCTCCAGGAGCTGGCAGTGCAGCTGGTCCTGTCAGTGTATGCTGATGACATACTCCTCATGGTCCAGGACTCAGGTGACCTGGTGCAGGTGGAGGCCTGCCAGGCATTGTAGTCAGCAGCTGCCTCTGCGCAGGTCAACTGGGTCAAGATCTTTGGCCTGACAGTGAATGACTGGTGACAGGTGGGCTCACTCCCACCCATGCTCCATGGGATCTGCTGGAGTGTGGGCTCACTGCTCTACTTGGCAGTCTACCTGTCCCTCACAGACCCTTCCATGCCAGAGAACTGGCACCAGCTGGAGGCAAGGGTGGTGGAGAGGCTCTGGGCATGGGCAGGGCTCCTGAGGTGTCTCTTGCTGCATGGGAGATTGCTGGTGCTGAACCAACTGGTCCTGTCCATGCTCTGGCACCCCTTACACACCCTGCCTGTGCCCCCTGATGTCCTGGCATAGCTCCAAAGATGGGCACTGGAGTTTTTCTGGCTAGGACAGCACTGGGTTGCTGCGGATGTCCTGATTCTCCCCTTGTGGGAGGGCAGCCAGGGCTTGGTTTGCCTGTGCAGCCAGGTCCTGACATCCAGGCCCTGCAGTGACTGCTATACGGTGTCGGTAGCCATGCAACATGGGGCCACCTGGGGCGTGCCTTCCTCCACCACTACTGGCAGCTCCTTGACCTGTGGGGCTTCTCCCTACAGGACCTGCGAGGGCTGCCAGAGTTCTACCAGGATCTCCTCTGGGCCTGGAGGCTGGTCTCCACCTGCAGGTCCCCCGCAACAGTCGCTCAGGGTCCTGTCCTGCTCATCGAGCCCCTTTTCTGGAACCCCCAGCTGGAGGTACTGATGGCAGAGGTGCCCCAGTTGTGACAGAGGTTGATCCTGGCTGGTGTCCCCCATATCAGAGACCTCCTGAACTATAATAGGCAGGAGTGGGTGGACCCCGCTGTGCTCGGCACATGGGTCTACTGGAGACATGTGCGATCTGCTGTCTGGTCCAGAAGGTGAAACCTGCCCTATCTCCTGACACCCTTGCCTTTGTTGATCAGGTCCTGTGCAGTGAGGATCCCCCCCCCCCAATGTCCTCCAGCCCACCAAAGTTTTTCATGGGGCTGGCACCTTGCCCAGCCTCACAGAGCTCCCTGCTCCACCACCTAAGCTGGCTGGAGGACACCAGACCAGTCTGCTTTTACACTGTCCATTGCTGCCACTTCTACATGTTCATGTGCCACATGATCCATCATGCTTGCTATATTTACAATGTTAAAGCAATTTGGAAACCTACCAGTGTCTCTATCATCATGTTAAAATAAATCCTAAATATCTTTGTTTTAATGTTTGCTTTTGGTTTCCTTGTTACATGGGTGGTGTGTGATTGGGGGGGATATGGAGTTTGCAGAAGGGGAGTGGAAAGTGGGGTTTGGAGATGTGTGGAGGGAGGTGGGAAAGTGTGTGGGAGGACTGTGGGTGTGGGGGGGACTGTGTGGGAAGGGCTGCTTAGAAGGGGTGGGTCCCCTTCCCCTCACAGGGCACAGCCCCCACACAGCACATGGAGTGCCCTA